TTCTTCGTTCTTACTGTTCTTTCGTAGTCACCGTTCTGTCATCCGCTTTTCACGGTCCATATCTTTCTTTGTATTAAATCGGCCTGGGTAGCCGTTGCTGAAGGATATCCTAGTCAATTTGTCCAACTCTTAGTCCTAGAATTCTACATCCGTTAAGCGTAGGCTTCGGATGATCATGTACCTAATTATTCCTATCTTTAGTCTGTAATTATGAAGGGACTGAAATTGAATATTATAATGGCATAAAATCTTTTTCTGAACAATTTCTTTTTAAGCATCCCATTAGAGTGAATCACTTCAACATCGATGAACGGTAACCACTCATCTTCTATTTCCATCATTAATTAATTTTTTTTAATCGGTCTTGCTCTGGAGTTTTTGAAAGTTTTGCAGAATCATGATCCTGGCCAGATTACGCCAGAGCCTTGACTTAATATCTATAAACTTAGATAGCTTATTCCTCTCCGTATCATTAGTATTACTTAGTTTCTGGAGATAATCCTGGTGGATATACTCATTAACCTTATCCGAATGTTAGGGTCTCTTAAGGTCACAGAACTTAGAAGTTATACCATAACGTTTGCAACAGTTTTAAAAGGTCAGATGGCAAGATTGACTTACAATTGTATTTTTTCTCCTGCTGTATTCAGTGCTTTTATCTGGAAATTTTACTAACGTAGTTTAATCGAAGATATGAAGACCAAGATGGTATGGTCGCAGTCTCTTTTCGATTTATAGAAGTGGGTTGACCTTGTTGTCGCAACTTGGTCTTGTTATCAGGGAGACTTAGTAGAACGCATCTTGTCCGAAGTCCTGCCATAATAGTTATCGTAATTCCCTGCATCAGACAGCGAACTTGGTACATTTTAAGACTTCACCGGCATCATGGTATGTGTTAATGTCTATACGCAATTCCGGTCCTTACCGAGACTGCTTAAGTCCGTTAGTAAGCATGGTTGAGATAATGAATTTTCATCTTGTAAGTGTGTGAGTCAAGTTACGAAACCACCTGACTGGAGCTGCTTAACCTTGTGCGTCTGGTTTGGTTGATGAGCTTAATCTAACATGCTGGACAAGTTTGAGGGAAGTTAGAACCATCACCGAGCAGACAAGTTGAGTCGCCTTCTTTTGGATGGCGGCTCAACACCCTCTCTCTCATTCACTCAAGTATAAGTAGTTCTTGTTCTACCTTCTACCATTGTTTCTAACATTCAGCATATTCCATAATCTATAGGCTATCTTATTACAAGACAGTTCTAAAGGCTTATATGCCTAAAATCGAAAGTTTCATAATGCATGGATAATATAGTTCACTAGATATAATTATATAAAGACGAAGACAGTTAAGTATATGGTGACTTTGTAAATAGGTGGAAGATTAGTTGCATGAAGAAATAAGCAAAACAGCCAGCACTATGAATACAATCAACAACTGAGAAATTAAGTTAGACCTACTGTTAACTGCTACATAGGATATGAGAAGAGGGGAGAGAGTAGACCTAATATCGAGTAAAGTGGGACGGCTTTGTTAGCTTCGTATCTTGCACGGTTCTTATCTCATGAGTTATGTGTGTTGCATAAACACACACATATGCACACCTGCAAATATACACTAATATATCAATCAATAATATAGAATAAAAAAGGACTATACCTTTCCGGATATCGATTGACCTATTTTAAGATGGATAAAAAGAGAGGTATTTTTTATGAAGCACAGAGTAACATGCGATTATCTAGTCATGCAGCCATGAAAAGATGATGCCTTGCGAATCCCTTCTAAAATAGAAAATAATTTGGTGCGGCCTGAGACTAACCATTCCTCTAAGTCTGCTTCTGAGCTAGACGCCTATTTGCTATAAGACAAATTGGTTGTAGCCTGTCGTTCCGTTTGCGGGTGGCATATTTGAGCAAACTTTTGATAAAATCTGATTGAAAGTTAAAAAATGTTGTATACATCCTTTTCTTACCTTATGAATATTCAGTACACAGCACAGTATGCAACATGTCATAGGAAGCAGCATTATTAGCTTCTAACACAGCTGATGGGCTTGTTAAAAATTGAGGTATTAAGGCGGGCTACTATATTTCTCACGTTATAGGACACTATTTGGCTTTACAAAGTAACCTCATTATAAGACTACAAGATTTGCGATGATTTTGCTACTCTGGCTAGTACACTCAATTCCACCAGTATGTTAGTCCCGAGTTTCCGAAATGACGTCCCACCCAGATTCAGAGTCTATTTTCCCCATAATTCTCATTTTCACGCTGCACAATGGTAGTCTACATTGATAATCATTTCAGTCAATACTGACCTGATGGACCTCTTATCCTAAATTTTTGTGTGGTAAGCTATATGTTCATAATTGAGTTCACTAGATTTCCATATAAATTGATCTAAACTATCTATCCTGAACCAACCTGGTTTTAAAAGTAACAATCATACCTTGCTCTTATGATGTTCGTCATATGACGGACGAAAGCTTAGCACCTTTTCGCCAGGATCGAAGGAGATTACCTCGGAAACATAGTCAGCATGAATCTTCCAGTAAAGCCAATCGACAGCTGGTCAAGAGAAATACGCCGTCGTCTTTTGATGGAATCGACCTTCAAATCTCTTCACCCAACGCTTTTATTCGAAATGGAAGTAGGCTCAACAATTATGAAACAAGAGATTCCTCAAAACCCAAATTTTCTTCGAATGTATTATATTTCGATCTGTGATGTTGGTTACCGTGAATTCCGTTGTTGATTAATATTTACTTCCTGAAGCTCTTTTCTGCCTTGCCTTGCTTGCTTCTGCAAGTGGCGTTATGTGCCAAGATTATCTGGCTTTTGATGAATATCCTCTTATTGTTGAACTGACCTACATTTTATCCATATTACCTATTATTGTCTTCGACGTAATTTATATACACATATAACTAGTATATTCTACTTTGCCATTTCAGAATGCCTAATATATTGACACTTGTTGAACTTTGGTCAACCTTGATTTCGTACTGTTATTTTAGGTTGCGACCAGATTAAAGTTCATATCAATGTTCCTCATTATCAGAGGTTTTTGATTTAAATGTTAAATTCTAGTCTTTTTTAGACAGAAATTATGCTTAACTCAAGCTTATCTTGGATTCACCTATTTTACATTACACATTTAACGACTGTACACTTATTTTCATAGCGAGAAAATTTAGGAGTTAGTTAATAACGTTCCATCTTTTTTAAATGCATACACGTTACTCATATGCAGTAATGACATGTTGAAAGTTATTATTACAACCCATTTCCTTGAGTATACCGAAATAATATGTTCTAAAAGTTTCGTCTAGAATTATTTTTTCAATAAATTTGTATTTTTAATAGATAGCCATAATCTTAGCATCGTCTTTTATTTATTTGGCTTAGTATTTTTGCCAAATATTTTTAGTACTGGCTTCTTAAAATGCCGTAGTTTTTAAATAAAATGCATGCTAAGCAAAGATCCTTCTATGCCGAAGGATAATGCGCCAATGACTACTTCGATCTAATCAACGACTGACAGATCTCCAAAATAAGGCTTCTTTGTTTTTCCGTAACAGTAATCTATTATCCCATATACCTAAAATGCATACAGGATAAGGTACCTAAACGCACGAATCTTTCAAGTGATTCTACAATATATACTTTTAGATTACATTATTAATGGGGACTATATATGACCATATGCCTCATATACGGTTCTACAAAGTCTAAAATTGATGATGAATTCTTAGGTCTTTATTAGCTGTGAATATGCTCAAAAGTTTCTTTACTTTTGAAGCTTATTGCCGCAAGTCTAACATTAGTTGTCCTACTTTCGATTAAAATATTTTTGTGTTCAATTGACACATTTTTCTTTTTGAATTGTAACGAAATTCACTCCTTATTAAAATTATATTATTATTAAAGAAGTTTCCCACTTGACTTGCTCTTGAAGCATTCTTAACTTATTTCTCTTAAGCATATCTTTTCTTTTACTACCTATTTATACCCTATATGCAATTATATATCTTATGTTTTTCCCACTAAATATCACTTTAGGTGGTAATATACCTCAGTTTTGCCACATCAATCTGACGCCACAGCAACTCATCTTGACTGCTCCGACGCCAGGTTCATGTCCCCGAGCAATGTCACCCTTGCACTCCTTTTCATCTTCCGTCAGACAACCCGATTCCGTCGTTACTCAATCCTCCTCATTTTCGTCTTTCTCATCACCTGCTCCCATTCCATCTTCTCTTGCTCAATCTGGCCATGCCACATTTACCGCAATGGAGCCCTTATCCGACGGAGGTGCTGTTGGCGATGTGGGCCGGCGAATACATCTTCCTATTTACGCCCCACGACAGTCGATTTGTTTGGTTGAGGTCGTCAGGTCTCGAGTAATTCTTCTTTCCTATAACTGGTCCAGAGAAGAGTTTGAGCGCCTGGGGACTCGTATCTTCTCTCTAGTTGAGTGGCACAACCAGAGAATTAAGGTTCGAATTTTTTATATTTGCT